ATGTAGATATGAAAAGAACAGAATACGATTGTAAATGTTTTATCATTTCACTAAACTATTGAAAAGAGGGTCTGTGAAAAATGCCAAAATTCGAAGATAACATTCATTTTATGTTGATGCACTTTGTAGCGGTACTAGAGTTTGTGTCATCCGTGAGATAGATGATAATCGCGTACGACACTAGATGTTAACCGTACGATATCACGAATAGGCTAAAGTCTGAAATGTCCACTAGTCATTCACATGAAAGTTGGCAAAAACATCAAGACTAAAAACCGAATGAAGCACATTTACGTTGATGTTTACTTTAAAATGCTCATCCTTATTTTAAACTTCTAGCATTCAATCATACAGTTACATGTTGGTTACGAAACTATGTTTGAAACAATGTGTAAAAATTAAAAAAAATATCGTATTATATGTTTATAGTTGTTGAGCTAATAAATATTGTCGGAATCTAACTTGTTTTTATAAAATGTCATTTTTAATTATTAAAATAGTGTGTTTATGGAAACGACACTTGGCAATCAACTGTTATTCATTTTTCTATTCCGACTAGGTAATCAGATAATCAAAAACTTAATTCCCTAATTGTTTGACAGCATCACTGCCATTTAACTACTCAACGGATAATAAAGTGAGGGACAAAGTAAAAAATGTGAAATATAAGGTAACATTTATAGTTTATTATGAACCGCAGTTCGTATCTACAGATTACTATCCAAAATTATGATTTGTAGAGAGGCATTTTCACGTTACTAATGAAACAAGTATAACATACATGATATTGACCTGTGTTTTAAGTTAATTTTTTATAGATAAGTAACCTACTGGATTAAATACTCGCTACCGTTTCCATAAATTCAGGTGGATTGTTTCAGTGACCTTACCTTTGAGCTGACGAAATGAATTGTGATTAAGCCATTGTTAGATGAAATAATTCTGCGAATATATTACCAAGATAAATATTGCAAAGTAAGTGTAATGCATATTAGTACGGTGACTGTCAATAACTTAGAGTTGTATATTTCTCTGATATACTTTTAAACCATTTTGTCAAAAGAAAAACAATATTATTATTTTCTCAGTAATGTCAAAACCATTTTTCTTCGCAAATCTTGTTATTTTGTTGGATATCTAGTTTTATAACCTAAAAAACTGTTTTGAAGTGTTTAAATAATTTTCTAATCCAAAGTTTCTTCTCTCTTAACTAAACTTGTTTTTTTTACGGAAATACTTTCTTATTATTATGCGAAATGCAATTGAACCACTTGTATCAGGTTCTATACTTAATACTACTGATAGTCCGATTAGATTATGAATTAAAACAGAAAATCAATTAATATAAATTAACGCATTAGTCTGTATCCCAAAAATCTTATATTAAAAGTTTAAACAAGCTACATTTGTGTCTAGAGACTGAAATAGAAAAAAAAAGCAAATTTATTCGACCACATCATAAACAATTAATTTATGAATTTATTGTCTACTGAATACACTACTGTTAACCTTGTACTTTATCATAATTAACATTTCTACAAACTTTTGAAATGGCTTTCTAAGTTACAGTTGGGAAATTTAAAATTCCTTTCATTCCTTTGTGATATTGTTGATTTTTATTGATTTCAAGAGAAAAAAAATCTAATTTAGTTGGTTGACTATTTAACAAGCAGAACCGTTTTAGCGGTTGTTCATATACCAAATATTATCCTGATGATTTATAGAATAATTACCAGATGTGTAAATTATTTTCTAGTGAAACTTAATAATCTAGACATAATTATCAGCACAATGTAGCCATTGTTTAATTGTTCTATGAACGGTGACTAATGATTTTTCATTAGTCATACATAAGATATTTATTATTACTATTACTATAAAGTGATCACTCACTAAAAATATGACAAAATCATTCAATCTTGTTACCTATACCGACTAAACTGTGTCTATCAAATATATAGCTTAGCTATACAAACATTTTAGTATGTTAATAAATATAAACATGAATTGCTGTTTATTATTTGAGGCCGGTTGCTTTCTAAATAAAAATTCCCATAGGTAAAATAAATGCAGTGCATGAAATGAGCCTAATTTCTGATATTCAACTGTATATGTAATCCTAACCCTAACCGAAATTATTCCTATTCGCCATTTGATAGGATTTATCGCTGAAACTCTCAACATAATTTTCAGTAGTAAATCTATTTATCATTTGATCATAACAGAAGATAAGATGCTAAGTATTACTACCAAGGTTTTACTTGATAGTTTCAAATAGATTAAACATTACATGAGTTGTTGATAACAATAAAATAATAATATATTTGTAAAAGGTGAAAAAGTGAATTTCTGACATTTCGTAACCTAATTTAAGTCGCATCTTCGGTGAATAAATTAACACTACATAAATTCATATTTATTCAGTTTACTTAATCATTTATACTGTGAAGCGGTGATTAAAACTAGGCCGACAAAATTCGGCTATTCTAACCATTTGGATAAAAAAAATTTTATCATTAATATGTTGTCATAGGCAATATTAAATTTAGATTACGAAGTCATGAATAATGCAGATTTAAGCTAAGTAAAGATATTCGAATATTTGATTGTTTAAAACAATTACAGTCGATACGATCAAAACATAGTACTTATATTAATGAAGAGTGTTCTGATTCTCTTTGGACTCCTAGTCTTACATACTTTATAGGATGATATAAACAGATTGAAACTGTTCGTTATTTATCAACATTTTCTTTTTAGATAATATGTTTTCTAGCCAATAGTACGTTTTGTTTTTACTTAAGTACAATCGTTTAAATTCACTCTGGAATGTTGTTCAACTTATTCGTCAAATGTTATTGTTTCAACAGTTCATTTGTCAAAGGTTATAATTTCGATTTTTCGATCTAAAGATATTTATTCACAATTACAGTATACTTTTAGACCACTGAAAAAGAATAGTCCCATTATTCAGCATACTTGGTTCCTAGAAATATATTATTTTTAAAAAATCTTAAAACCGTTAGAAAGTATGTATAAATAGTATTTCATAGAGTGTTTTAAAAAAAGTTACTACAACATTTATTTTGCACTTTCCAATTACAAATTTCCAACTGTTAACGAGAAAAACACAATGAATTATCAACCGTTTTTTTATCAATAAACTAAAATCTTTTTAAAAAAGTCAGTTTTAAATGTTAGATGGAATACACAATTAGATAAAACAATAGAATTCAGATAATAAGAAAACTAAGTCATGTTTGCTAACCGATGAATGTATTTAAGTTCTTCTTTTATGCTATTTAATAAAAGCTAAACAACAGTTGGACAGCAAGGAACCAACTTTATGACATTCAACAAAACAGAAAGTGATGACTTCAGATTTGTAATACTTATTTAAATATATAAATTCCTGGGCTCAGTAGTGATTAATTTTAAAAAAGTAATTACGTGAGTTCTAGTAAGAAGTTGTGATCAGTAGAGTTCAACTGTCAATTGTGTAGTGGTTAGTCATAAATGTCACTGATTAATGATTGTGCAATATTACGAATCTCTTAAAATTAAGAAAGTAAACCAATTGACCTCAACTCAGTGGTAAATAAGTTCAGAGCTCACAGCGAGAGCTGAAGATCTTGAGTTCGACTTCTAGTGCGGTCGTGGGTACACCTTGCTTATGAATCACATACTCGGATGAAACAACTGTTTATTACATCCTTATTTTCGACGATTATTTAACTGAGATTAGTGTGTGATATAAATTATAAAATTCCGTCTATTTGTTATTGATTCTGTTGATACTAATGAAATAAAATGAGTTTCGCAAACAATCCATCGCTATTTGTTTTCCAACAATATCACCCCTAACAATGTAAAAATATTAGACACAAATGAAATATACTGTACTTAATAAAACCGATCAATGAACTGTGTTTACAAAAGTAGACGTGGTTAAATGTGTTAGATTGTTGATATATCATAAATGATTTAACTAAGCTGTTAGTTTTACTAAAGTTTCACTAATTCACACAATTCAAATAATTGAGAAAAAAGAATAAACCAGTATTGACAGAAAATAAATCAGTAATCATATATAGTTTTACGATAGTAAAATCTTTTAAGGCAATTTTTTGACAGACTAATATAATCTGGAAAACCATTTAAAAATCAAGATACACTGAACAGCTGTTTTATTCTTGTTTGAAATCTTTCATCCCTTTTCTCCTATCAGTGTCGCATCTGGATTTGTAGATTATATCAGTCCGTGATAAAATAAAAAAAATATCTACAAATGAAATTAATCACCAAAAACTAAAATTCTTACATACAGAATAATCTGTAGTAAGCGTACCAATATGGAGTGAGAAAACCGGTTTAAGGCTTACTGGTTATTAAACCAGGAAAGGATCCATTTTCATATAATTTGTAAGTGCTGTTAAAAATGAAAATCTTGGTAATATTGATATTTAGTATAAGTTTTGGTCCATAAGAGTAGGATACAGATTTATTCTCTCAACTGGCGTTTAAGAAATGCTATATTTCCTGATAACTGATCCAACTAAAAATTCAATATCACTGAATATATTTTCAGTGTATTCGATAATAACACTGCAAATAGAGAGTTGCAGCCTTGTGAGTGTTTACCTGGAGCTGAGTTAGAGCATGAATTATTACTATTGACAGTCTTATCTATCCATTTGATTTCATTAAGACTGATGATCTGAACATTAATTTATTCTTGTTAAAAAACAAAACCTTTTAGCTTTCTTTATTTAAATTGCATAACATGAGAAAACCAGTTTACTTATATATATTGCAAACGATATCAAGACAGTTTTTATCTACGCATTTTCACCATATCAATACCTCTTATATATCTTGAAATAAGTATACATACAGTTAATGATCATGTCTTTTTTTCTCTAAAAATAAATCAACCTTTAAACCATGCAATCACATTTCATACACATCATTTCGATTATCAAACAATATGTTTTACTTACCTTGATCACTAAAGACTGTAGGTAAGGTGATGCTAACAGTAAGTGTTAATATTATAATGTAGTTAAGTTTATGAAACTTTACAGTGGGATTTTTAATCATAACCTCTGTCATTTCAATAATCTCTGTAATTGTGTTATGTAAGCATAAGTTATTTTTTTAAATAATGGAAGTAGTTTATTCATGTAATCAGTTATATTATTTACTTATGTAAACATTTCCTTTGTAATAATACAAATTGATGATTAGCATAGGGAATGAAATACAATCTGATTCACAGTGAATTTTTATTATTCTGTTTTTGCCCTTCATTTGATTGGATAATTGGTTTATTTGAATTCAACCAATCGGTTAGTGGTATTCTACTAAGGTCATATAATTAAAATTAGAAAATTATTTAAAACGTGGATTTATATACACAGGCTACACAGTAAATAGGTGTAATTTCCGGTTTCAAAATTAGCCCAAAATTTTAAATGTTGACGATTATTGATTATTGAAGAGATAATTTAGTCAATAATAAGATAAAATAATTATCAATAGTAATTGATTGCTGAATAATATCGAAAGAAATCGATAATACAAATGAAGCCTATGCAATTTATGGAATTGTCACTTTTCATCAATACGCTTTACATTATTCACTGCTTAAGGTATTGATGAAAAGTGACAATTCCATAAATTGCATAGGCTTCATTTGTGTTATCGATTTCTTTCGATATTATTCAGCAATCAATTACTATTGATAATTATTTTATCTTATTATTGACTAAATTATCTCTTCAATAATCAATAATCGTCAACATTTAAAATTTTGGGCTAATTTTGAAACCGGAAATTACACCTATTTACTGTGTAGCCTGTGTATATAAATCCACGTTTTACAAATCCAATTCTTGTTCATTTTTCTCACGTCTATATCCATTTCTCGGCGTAATGTGTTCTTTGGTCTTCCTCTTTTCCTTTAACCTTCAGGATTCCATGTGAGGGCTTGTCTTGTGACGCAGTTGGGTGAAATCCTCAATGTGTGTCCTATCCACTTCCAGCGCTTCTTCCTGATTTCTTCCTCCGCTGGGATCTGGTTTGTTCTCCCCCACAGTACGTTGCTGCTAATAGTGTCCGGCCAATGGATCTGAAGTATTTTGCGTAGACAATTGTTAATAAACACCTGTATTTTCTGGATGATGGCTTTCGTAGTTCTCCAGGTTTCTGCCCCATACAGTAGAACTGTCTTGACATTTGTATTGAAAATCCTGACCTTGGTGTTGGTTGACAGTTGCTCTGAGTTCCAGATGTTCATCAGTTGTAAATATGCTGCTCTTGATTTGCCGATCCACGCCTTCACATCTGCATCAGATCCACCCTGTTCATCAATGATGCTGCCCAAATACGTAAAGGTTTTACATCTTCCAAATCTTCTCCGTCAATTGTGATTGGATTGGTGCATTCTGTGTTGTATCGGAGAATCTTGCTTTTCCCTTTGTGTATATTGAGACCTATTGCTGCTGAGGCTGCTGCTACACTGTTCGTCTTCTCCTGCATCTGTTGTTGCGTTTGGGATAGCAGGGCCAGATCATCTGCGAAGTCTAGATCATCCAACTGCATCTTAGATGTCCATTGTATCCCGCGCTTCCCTTCAGACGTTGACGTCTTCATGATCCAGTCGATCACCAGGAGAAAGAGAAAGGGTGAGAGTAGGCAACCTTGCCTAACACCGGTCTTCACTTCAAACGACTTTGTCAACTGTCATCCATGCACAATTTTGCAGTGTAATCCATCATATGAGTTCTGTATGATATTGACTATCTTCTGAGGCACGCCGTAGTGTCGAAGAAGTTTCCATAGTGTTGTTCTGTCCACGCTATCAAATGCCTTTTCGTAGTCAATGAAGTTGATGTAGAGTGATGAATTTCATTCAATTGATTGTTCCACAATGATCCGTAGAGTTGCGATTTGGTCCGTACACGATCTATCCTTACGGAATCCTGCCTGTTTGTCTCGAAGTTGGGCGTTTACGGTGTCCTCCGTCCAGTTTAACAATACCCTGTTGAAGACTTTTCCCGGTATTGAGAGAAGAGTGATTTTCCAGTATTAATAACACTTGCTGAGATCGCCTTTCTTTTGTATTTTGACCAGAAATCCTTCTTTCCAGTCTTTTGGTACTTGTTCCTCAGCTCAAATTTTATTGAAGAGAATGTGGAGTATCCTTTCAGTTGCTGCTACGTCTGCTTTCAGTGCCTCTGCTGGAATGTTGTCTGGTCCTGCTACTTTGACACTCTTGATTTGTCTGACGGCCATGCTGATTTCTTCAATTGTTGGTGGGCAAACATCGATTGGGAGGTCCGTGGGTGCTGCTTCGATGTTGGGTGGGTTCAGTGGAGCTGGTCGATTCAAGAGCTCTTTGAAGTATTCTACCCACCTGTTTCATTCTCCCTCAATGTTGATGATTACCTCGCCTTCCTTGCTTTTCACTGATCGTTCTGATTTGCGGCGATTTCCAGAGAGCTTCTTTGTCGTGTCATACAACTGTCTCATGTTTCCTTCTCTTGCAGCCTTTTCCGCCGTCATTGCTAAATCTTCCACATATTTACGTTTGTTGGTTCTGATGCTCCTCTTCACTTGTTTGTTTACTTCTGTGTATTCAGCTTGTGTCTTGACTTTTTCTGCTCATGTTCGACTGGTATTGATTGCTGCCTTCTTGTTCCTTCTTTTTTGAATCTTATCCAGTGTATCAACAGTGATCCATTCCTTGTAATGGTGCTTCTTGTGACCCAGGACCTCATGACATGTTGAAGTGATTGCCTCTTTGATCCCCTTCCAGTTGCTCTCCACAGTAGTTCCTTCTCCATTGAGTAGATCATGAAAGGCCTGGAACTTGTTGCTGAGGACTATCTTGAATTTGTTGAGTTTGTTAGTATCCTGAAGAAAGGCTGTATTGAACTTTTGTGATATTGTCCGCCCCGTTGTCCAGTGCTTATTGAGTTTCAATTTCATCTTGGCGACCAGCAAGTGGTGATCTGATGCTATATCAGCTCCTCTCTTGGTTCTCACGTCCTTTATAGTCCTCCTGAACGTTTTGTTGATGCAAATATGGTCGATTTGGTTTTGTGTAGAGTGATCCGGTGAAATCCATGTGGTTTTGTGTATGCGTTTATGTGGGAATATGGTGCCGCCTGTGACCAGCTTATTGAAGGCACATAGATTTGCAAATCTCTCACCATTTTCGTTTCTTTCTCCCAGTCCGTGTCGTCCCATGATGTCTTCATATCCAGTGTTGTCCGTTCCAACCTTGGCGTTGAAATCTCCCATCAGAATGGTCAGGTCCTTTGTTGGGCACTTCTCGACGATTGACTGCAGCCTATTGTAGAATTGATCTTTAGCGTCTTCATTGTAGTCGTTGGTAGGCGCATAGCATTGGATGATGTTCACTGAAATACCCTCTTTCTTTGTTTTGAACGAGGCTTTGATGATCCTTGGTCCATGAGATTCCCATCCTATAAGCGCATTTTGCGCTTGTTTGGACAGCATCAATGCAACTCCTTGTGTATGTGGTGCATTTTCTTCTTCATGGCCGGAGTATAACAGGAGCTCTCCTGTAGTTAGTCGTTGTTGTCTAACTTGTGTCCAATGTGTTTCACTGATCCCAAGCACCTCTAGGTTGTATCTTCTCATTTCTGCAGCAATTTGGAAGGCTCTCCCGGTGTCCCACATTGTACGAACATTCCATGTACCTAAATAAATGGTTGCTCTGGTTGTCAGAAGGAGCATCGGCCTCGTAACTTCCGAAGGGATTCGGCTTTCATCATGAGGCGTCATAATTCTTCTAAATGAAGACCTTCTGACTCCCGGGGCAGAGTTTAAAAGGTTTGAATAATTTTTTCTGGTTAGCGTTTTTTAGCGATTTAGTTTTCTACGAGATGGGGACACTAACCCCATGCCCAACCCTCCTCCTTTATCCGGTCTTGGGACCGGCAGTAGCCCCCGGAGGGACTCCAGGCGGAGTTGATTTATTCACTATTAAATTTATAATTTAATAGTGTTGTCATGTTGATGTCAGCTGAAAATTAAACTTTCTAACTCATAGATACTTGTGAAGAGAGATTAAATAACCGTTTATACTTGTTACCTTCACAATTTTTGTAGTTGTACGATTAGAATTATAATTAATTATAGTTTGTTGTTTTCATTCATCCATAAGCCTTTATTAAACTCATTGAGGAATTAAACTACCATTCAAATTCTCACTTTTTATAATGGAAAATTTAAATGATCACAGTTGAAGTAACTAATATTAATGGAAAAAAGTTTATTTGATAAAATACCTACATGATTGAGATGACTGAAATGATAAATTTACTCAAAGAAATGATTCATACATTCTGAATCAACATTTTTCAGACATTTGATAGAATATATCAGGTGGTTGATACCACCGTTTATAAACAACATATCCAAAGAGAATAATATGACTTACATCACCTATGGGGCATAAATGCTATCTAAATACATGGTTGAATGAATTTCGGGTCAAAATTCAAGAGCGTCTATCCTTATTCCCATTGTTTCGCCCATCGATCACAGTCTCGCCTAATTTTCTGCAGATTGTGTACACAAATAAAAGAAATTAGTGATATGCATTTAAACAATATATGTAAGATTATTGGTGTGGGATTGTGAGGTTGTTGAACCATCCTAAGTTAGACCACCAATAAAAACCTGAATGGCAGTTTCGTCCTAGTGTGGAACTCATCAGTAGTGCGCAACCACTACTCCGCTCCCGAGAGTCGAACCCACAATCTTTGGTTTCGCGCGTGATCTGTCAACCTCTAGACTACTGAGCCGTCGTTCAACTTGTATAGACGATGAAATATAAAATAATTGAATATTCAAAGCTGTTTTGTATCTATAAAATTATTTATCGTTTAACTAAAAAATTTAATAAAAAAAACCTTGAAAAGTTTAGATTTTAATGATTTCAAATGTTTCCTGTGATACCATAGTTTTGTTTGCATAATAATTATGCACAAATGATGAATACTCGCAAAAATTTCATTTAAATACTGAAACCTGATTGTAAAGCAGTAAATTAAGTTGCACAATACTAATTTACGGGATTATACTATTGAGAGTAGAACAATTTTACCGTTTATATTCTAATGTCGTTTATAAAATTTAGTGAAAACAGAAGTATGAATGCTTAAATTTTTCGGGATTTCAGCATTGAACGCTTAATATCACATATTTGAAATCGAATAGCAACATATTTTTACTGAGACTTCATACAGACA